AAAAGCTTTTTATCTTGATGAAGTCCCAATAGTTCATTTTTGCCCTTGCTTCCCTTGCCTTTGGCGATGTTTCTAGGAAGAAGTTGCTTCGGCTGAGGTTGAAGAGGTTGCTGCCTGTGTTCTCCCCTAGGATTTTGATGGACTCCTGTCTCACATTGAGGTCTTTCAACCATTTGGAGTCTATTGGATAGCCACATGCAGAAGAATGAAACTGGACCATTTCCTTACACCACACACAAAAATAGAAGTTAAATCTTAAATCAGTTGGGAAGTATTTCCATTTATTAAATATTTTAGAATCTTAGGATCAAGAAAAAAAGACCTAAACTGCACATAGCCTCTAAGTAGACTCAGTCCACACTGTGGCCTGGAGGCCAGGATACCAGAACTTGGAGGTCCTTGCCCCATTAAAGGACACCTTCAAGTCTCCTGAGATCCATCCTGAACATTAAGTATGGCTTCATTGCTAAGCCAAGATTTTAGAATGGAGCTGCCCAATGGAACTTTCTGTGCTATCCAATATGTAGCCACTAGCCACCTATTGAGTCCTTAAAAGATGACTATTGTGACTGAGGAACTGATTTTTTTATTGTCATTAAATGTAAACAGTTACATATAGTCACTGGCTATAATAGTGGACAGTACAGTTTTAGAATATAAAACTGTTTTTAAATAACTGTGATGTAGTATAAATATTTCTATGTACTTTATTCAGTCCCTATCTTGGTTCTTTTTCCCCTAGATCAAAAGTCTTGAGCATGAATTCTGTAAGAAAAGAGTCTAACAGCCAAAATAACAAGGTAAGCATTTCACTCCACCTTCAGCTTCTCTCGGTGTCATTGCCTTCAAGGGAGTTTCCAAAACACTATCAGCCACCAAACACATACCAATCTTTCCATGTCATTTTCCAAGAATAGTACCAGACATAATTCTAAAGCATTCCAACCCTAAACACATAAACAAAGAATATGCTATAGAACAATGGTTTTTCCTCTCTCGGCACCATGCAAATGATGTGTTCTCAAAGGAACTAGCTTAAGACCTCACAGAGTTCAGGATGGAAGCAAGAAGGAACATTAACTGAGGGTACGCTATATGGAGAGAAGGCCAATATAGGACACATATACCACTCCTCCCATCTCCCAGAATTACAATATTCTTTCCTGGTGATCCCAACATGGTCCCAAATCTCTCACTACATAGAGCACCAGGGCATCTATCACCATCTAATCAGGTTGGCCCATGAGTTAAAACATGAGAAGTCATTACTTCTTTACAATACAGCTTCAGTGTCTGTTCATATTTAACACCATGATGTCATTAGTATATATGTAGAAGTCTAAAGGACACAGAATTGGATGTAGAGCACCAGGCCTCTTGGCCTGCTTGGCGTGTTGTGGCAGCAAGTACATAGGGCAAAAAGATAAAACTTTTGTCAGACTTTAATTTTGTAATTTTTATTGGCTTTAGAGCCAAAATTGACATTCACCAGAAATTTTATCATTGAGATACATGGTCTTCATAATGTCAGAAAAAAATAAGTCATCTCTCCCTAAAAAGCAAATATCAACAATCAACCATTGTCCTTGGGGTCATCCAGATGTTTGGATATATATTAGGCCACGTTCACAGTGACCATGGTTCCCATTGGGAAGTCATGGGTCACTCTGGTCCCAACCTTGCATATTATACAAGTCATTCTGGTCCCAACCTTGCATATTATACAACAAACAAAAACAACAACAACAAAACTCTTGAAATTAATTGGACCCCACCTCTCTAGAACCAAGCTTGGCATGCTCCCTGATATATCCCACCGTCTATCCCCCAATGACTCATCAAAGTATTCCTTCTAGCAGACTTGTCTTCATCAAGATTACCAAAGTCCCATAATGGTTCGATGACCTATGATGTTTGAGCAATCTTTACAGAGTCTGCCTGAGCAATTGACCAGTTGACATGCTGCTTAAATTCACTCAAGTTATAGAACCAAATTTGTAACCCAGAAAGTTTTTTTCTAATTCTAATTCTGTGAGTGTCATTTTCACAATTTTAAAATGTGACTGTAATTCCTCTTCATTTTTTATCTCACAAGGAAGCTAAAAGGAAAATGAAATAACTGAGAAAATATTTTGGAAGAGATGCCACAGAAATCCAGGATATATCCTCATCTTTACATTTTTTATAGCTCTTAAAACTTTTCTTAGAATATATTTGTGTGCTGGGCGCCTGGGTGGCTCAGTTGGTTAAGCGACTGCCTTCAGCTCAGGTCATGATCCTGGAGTCCCTGGATCAAGTCCCGCATCGGGCTACCTGCTCAGCAGGGAGTCTGCTTCTCCCTCTCCCGCTCCCCCCTCTTGTGCTCTTTCTCTCTCTCACTCTCTCTCTCAAATAAATAAAATCTTTAAAAAAATTTAAAAAATTAAAAAAAAGAATATATTTGTGTGCTTTTCATAACCTATAAACTTCTTTAAGGGTTACTGGTTAAGTAGGAGGTAAGAGCATAGTTGAAAGAGCCCTGAATGCATATTTGAAGGACCCAGGTTCCAAGCCTGGCTCTGCCACTTATTAGCTGTATGACATACCTTACCATTTTATGGCTTCAATTATTCCTATCAACATATAAAAAAGTGATACAAAATTACACACACACATACACACACATGCATGTATATATATGGTTGTCTTTAAAAATTCCATCTGTTTATGCATATAAGAAATTGTAAGATATTATCTAAATATAACATTAATGGCTCACTGAATATTATTTGACAGTGATGATAGCTTCCAAAAATTGCTTATTTATCCATGTCCTTTCTTCTCCCAGGATCATTCTCTCCAAAAGAAGGGAACATGGTTCTGCAAAAGGTAAGCAGACATCTTTGAGTAAACTTCCTGGAAAACTGGGAGTTCCACTTAGCCATCCTGGCAGATAACAAAGTCTGGACAAGGAGACCCTTGTATACATACACACACCCAGAGTGAAGTCAAAAAACTAGTGTCATCAATGACTATGTTTCTCAGTTCTAATGTATGACTTCCTTGTCCAAAGGCAATTCCTTTTTTTTAAGATTTTTATTTACTTATTTGACAGAGAGACACAGCGAGAGAGGGAACACAAGCAGGGGGAGTAGGAGAGGGAGAAGCAGGCTTCAGGCAGAGCAGGGAGCCCGATGTGGGACTCGATCCCAGGACCCCGGGATCATGACCCAAGCCAAAGGCAGACGCGCAATGACTGAGCCACCCAGGTGCCCCCAAAGGCAATTCCTAATTTCAACTTTCCAATCTTAGAAGTGAATAGCCTAGTAGTAATCAGAAATAGGAATTTTATCACCTAAGAGAAATGTGGCAAACTGATACTTACTCCCTCTTCCCTTTAACAATTTGAATTAGCTTGATGGGTTCTTGTTCTCCAATAACGTCAGTAGATTATGATGGGAGGATCCTTTTGTGGTTCGTAAAATGATGAATAGGGTTTTCACACTATTGTGTCAGATGTGCCTCCCTCAAATACTGTTACAATGTCAACATGTTACATTAGAAATAGTACAGAACTTGTAAATGCACATATTCCCCTGCCTAATAGCAAATAAGACAGAAAATGATTGTGAAAGAGATCACACCCAACAGTACCCAGCCCAAAATAATTGCTCAAAAATACTTGTTAAACTGAATAAGAGCTCAAGATTCAAACAACCAAGTGGATATTAGTCCTGAGGGAATCGCTGTGATAGCAAAATAAAATTGGGATTCAATGAAGCCCCTGCATTTCCAAGAAAAGGTCAGATTATGTTCAATATAATTTGTTTAAGAAGGCATAGAGAAACATATATTCAAAGTGGTATGAAATATGATTTAGAAAGAGTTCCATCAAAATGGTTAACATAAAATTATTGGTGCTTAAATGTCACCTCCAATTGTCTGGAAAACTTGCTTATGGGGGATACCCCTTCATACCAGATAAGTGAAGTGTTACATATTTGGATATCCCAAAATACAATGTTCCCAGAACAGCTAGCAGAATTTCCCTAGAATTCCCAGGCTGCTTTAGCATATAATTTGACACCAGTGCCTCACATGGAACTGCCCATGTGGGTTCCCAGGATAAGAACTGTCTGCCTTGAAAGAGAGTTAGTATCCTGAAGAGAACCTGACAGCATCCTAAAAGTCTAGCTCATCATATCAAACTACAAAGATCTCTCCTCTTGCTCTGCTCCAATATCCTATGGGGCACTGGTATATTGGGCACTGACTCAAGAGATAAGAAAGCTGGATTATTCCTAAGATTTTCTCTGGGAATGTCATCCCAGAACTTTCTCATGAATACTGTATTTAGCTTTAAGGAGAATACTAGGAAGAGGTCTGTAAAGGGTTTCTGCTTCTAATTCTGACCAAGATGCTGTATATAACAGATCCTGCCTCCTGTCACCAAGATCAATTCTAGAGAAAAACTTAAGGGAACTGGTGGGGAAGGGGCTGTTTTTCACTGGTAGGTGGAGGTAGGTAGTGAATTTGTTCTACAGCAGACGGTAGCCTAGCACAGCTAGATAAGGGTAATACAGGAAAGGAAAAAGTGGAGATTTGCTTGTGCAAATCACAGTAAAACCACAAGGCCAAAATAATTCATCAGTTAAAAAAGAAATCAGGACCACCATAGGGGAATTTATAGAAATTAGGAAACATTAAAAATAACAAGAATTAAAGAAGAGAAATACCATGATCATGGATAGAAAGCCATAATATCATAAATATATCAATTCTCTTCAAATGATTCACTTCAGTTCCAACCAAACTGCCCAAAAGGTTTTCATTACATTTAATACAATTATTCTAAAATATACTATATATAGAAGAATAGAGTCAAAAATAACCTGGACAATTTTAAAGAAGAGCAAGGAGTGGGGAATATGCCCTTCCAGATATCAGGACTTTCTATGAAGTTGCAGTAATTACAATAGTGTGATACTGTCACAGGAACAAGAAAATCAACCAATGAATTAGAAACAGTGCATATATAGAACTTCGATATGTGACATGTGACAGTGATTGTATATCAGAAAGAAAAGGAAAAACTGTTCAATAAAAATGGTAGGGGGTAAAAAAACAGTTATCCAGGTGAGAAAAAAAAATGAGATTGGATCACTACTATACAGCATATTTAAAAAGCGAGGCCAGATGTGTTAAGGACTAAATGTCCAAAAAAAAAAAATCTTGAAAATTTGGCATCAGTTATCTACTGCCAAATAAAAAATGGTCCCAAAACTTAGTGGCTTCAAGCAACAAACATTTATCTCACAGTTTCTGTGGATTAGGAATCTGTGAGCCACTCAGCTGGGTAGTTCTAGTTCATGGTCTGTTAACAGGTTGCAATTAAGATGTTGGCCAAAGTTAGAGTCAGTGGAAGGCTTGGCTGGGCTGGAGGATCTACTTCCACGGTAGCTTACTCGTACATCTGGCAAATTTTGCAGTTTGTTGGCAGGAGGTTTCAGCTCCTCCTCACATGGAGCTCGCCACAGGGCTGGCTTGTGTATCCTCACAGCATGACAGCTGGCTTCCTCCTGAGAGTAAGGAGCAAACTGCAATGCCTTTAGTATGTAATCCAGGAAGCCACACACTGTCACTTCCATGATTCTCTATTCTTTAGAACCAAGTCATTAAGTCCTGGCCACACTCTAAGGGAGAAGAGTCTCTTGAAGTGCGTGATACCAAAGAATGTGTGGACATATTTTAAACTACCATAAACTGTTAGTAGAAAACAGTAGCAACTTTTAGGCCTTGGTGTAGGGAACAGTTCTTTAAATAAGACACAAGAAGCATTGATTCTAATTAAAGATTGATACACTAGACTATTAAAATTAATAACTTTTGTTTTTTAACACCTTAGAGTGAATGAAAGTTATAAAGTAGAGAGAAGATATTCATAGTACACACACTGGAAAAGGATTGATATCAAGAACATATAAAGAACTTCTACAAATCAATAAGACTACCCTAAACAACCTAATAGATAAATGGGCAAGAGAAAACATATAAAATCTGTGAACAGAACAGATGTTCAGCATCATTGTTCACCAGGGAAATGCAAATTAAGACCATTACTTTACACCCATTTGGCAAAATTTTTAAAATCTGATGCTATCAAGTGTTGGAAAAAATATGGACTCACAGAAACACATACCCTGCTGATGGTTAGAAATTGTTGTAAATGCTTCGGAAAACAAGTTGGAAACAAAAATAAAACAAAAGATAAAAGAACAAGATAATTTCAGATAGTGATAAATGCAAAAAGAAAATAAAACATGGTAATGAAAGAGAGAGTAACAGGCAAGCCAGCATATGGGAAGGAGCTGCCTTTACAAGGCATTGTCGGTAATAGAGACAACAATTAGTGGGAGACATTTAAATATCAAGAAGGAGCAAGACATGCATTTAGGTATGAGTTTTATTTTGTTCCTGGTTTTCTAACCTCTGGTTAACAGTTTCTTGACCTTTTCTTTTCAGGATTTTTCAATATGTCTTTTTCACCACCCTATTTTTCATCAGACTGCTGGGCTACTTGTTTTTCCATATAAGTTTTATAAATCCAGATCTCCTTATCAACATACTGCCCAAGATATTGAGCAGGGACATCCTGTGGAAGCTAAGATGCTTCCTCTTTCCATCTCTCACACTTGAGACAGAGGACATGTTACCCCACTGATCCCCAAGAAATATCCTTGAGCAAAAAAAGGCAAGTGGTGTCTGAGTCTGTAGACTAAGAAACGGCGGAATTTGCAGAGGGAAAAGGTTTTCTTCAGTTTTTTCCTCAAGGTCTGTCTACTTGATTACCTTCTCTTTCCATGTTGTCTTTCCAAGACTGACCTTGCCCAGGAAAAAGCTCTGTAAATAGATTTCTATGACTACAGGATAAGCTAAATAGTCCCAGATAGTAAACAAACTAGACCATTTTTAGAATAATGTCATAGACACTAAGCAAAGTTAGAGTTGACCAATTCTTCCAGAAAATCTTTAAAATCTGAAAGACTGGATCCCTGTCTACAATGCAGAAGATTGCTCACTACTTATATTAGAATTATTTAGTTACAAATGACCTTAACTTAAACTAATTTATAAATTCATAGCAAAAAGAAAAAAAAGGCAGGGGGGTGGAATATTGCTTTGTGCAACTAAAAGTCTGGGATTCCCAGCATGGCTGGATCCAGAAGTCTAAAAGCAAGATTAATGGGGTTTCACCACTCTCTTTGAATTGGCATTTTCCTTTCAGTGGCAAGATACTGCCAAAAGCTTAAGTCCCACAGTACAAGATTAGCAGCCTTGGCTAAATGAAACAGTCTTTTCAACAGTTCCGGCAGGAAACTTCAGAGAAACTGCCTTAGTTGAGGCCAAGTGTCTACCCCTGCCCAACACTCAGTGCAGCCAAAGGAATGGGAGTACTCTGATTAGTCAAGCATGAATCCATGAATCATATTTCCAACCTCTTGGGGAGGTTGATAAGAAGAAAAGAGATAAGGGAGTTAACCCCACCTAAACTACATGGAATAAGTTTCCCTAAGAAGAAGGGGCTCAGTTCACAAAGAAAGGAAAAGAGATACTGGGCAGGCAAAAGCAGATGTCCACTTAATCACTAGTTTTAGCGTTACACATAAATATCCAATCTTTTCCATCTTTCTTTTTTTTTTTTTTAAGATTTACTTATTTATTTGAGAAAGAAAGAAAGAGCATGTGCACACGTACAAGCAGGGGAGGGGCAGAGGGAGAGGAGAGAGAGAATCTGGAGGAGACTCTACACTGACCACAGAGCCCGACACAGGGCTCAATCTCATGACCCTGAGATCATGACTTGAACCAAAACCAAGAATCCGATGCCTAACTGACTACCCAGGCACCCCAACATCAACTTTTTCAATTAAATAAACTCTTAAACTTATAGTTCACTTCATAGGTCTTCCTGCCAGTAAAAATTTTAACCTTTCAAGATCATAGATTAGATACTGAAAAACTACTGCAAAAAACTCAGTAAAAGAACCATGTAAAGAATCAGATTTGGGGGCGCCTGGGTGGCTCAGTCGTTAACCGTCTGCCTTCGGCTCGGGTCATGGTCCTGGGGTCCTGGGATCGAGCCCCGCATCAGGCTCCCTGCTCGGGGAGCTTCTCCCTCTCCCACTTCCCCTGCTGCTTCTCCCTCTCCCACTCCCCCTGCTTGTGTTCCCTCTCTCGCTGTGTCTCTCTCTGTCAAATAAATAAAATCTTAAAAAAAAAATCAGATTTGTAGGGCTAAAGCAAGGATTCTAAACTAAATAGCATATGATTAATATAAACTGCTTCACAAACTTGGGGTAACCTACATATGGTCAAACCTCTTATTTTTCCACTTAATTACTAAAGCATCCACATGCCTTATTAACAAGATATATTCAAACTCCCTCTTGAAGCTTCCTGACCCTCCTAAATTATCCTTAGCCTTGACAGCTCTGAAATCCAAGAGCAGCAAGGGCTCATTCTGGCTTCCACACCAGCAGGGAACAAACATAAAGACCCCTTAGT